AACCAAATAATTATTAAATAGTTAATGGAACTATACTTTAATATACATCTTTTATTTGTTTACAAATAATTAATGTATCTAAAATAATTTACAAATCTAAAATAAAAACTAATAAAGTTATTTTTATCATCTTCTACTGATCTTGAACTTATTTTTTATCTTCTCTTATCTGAATGGAGGTGAATTGAGGTGAAATTCACGAGTTCAATAAGAAAAAATATTTTATAACATAGACTTACGCAATATAAAAATATAATAATATTTACAATCAAAAAAATATTAAATAAAACATCTCAATCAAAATACACAACAAAATAAATTATTACATGAAATATATTTTAATCATCACTCTAATAACCTAATTCTTGTTCTTATTTAATATCACAATATATTCGAAATATCACATCTAAAGTTTCATCACGCGATATCGTTTATATCGTCATCGATGAGAGGCGAAATGGATTCCCCCATCGCATGGATAGCATATATAAAATCTCACATTGACCACAGCAATTATATTTGTTAGGTGACCCACGCTCACAAATACCTATTCACGTCTGAATTATGTTTCAAATACTATCCATGTGCAAGTTCACTATATCTGCTGAACTTCAGCCACAGACGCCCCCTCCCCTCTTAGATTCAGACTGAACGAGTAGGTATCAATGGTCTTTACACTCTACACTCTTTCTAAATCTCTCTTATTTTCAATTTACTCATTTCATACTCAAGATTTCAATTTCTATCTATAATTAAACACAAACACACACACACACATAAAATATACGATATCATCACGCACTTCAGAGACATACATTTCAAACCATTTTTTAAATCATCTTGTATCATATCACACAGCAAGCACAGGATACTCAGATTCATCGTACAACTGTACTAGATCACACAGCGAGTACAGTACACCGTACATCTGTATCAGATCACACAATAAATGTAGTGTATTTAAATTCTACATGTGTACACACTGGCTATTCATTTTACATGCATAACATATGTACACACATATTAATACATATACATATATTAAAAATACAGAAATATATAGTCACTACATGTCTCAAACATAATATATATTTATATTCACACACACATAATTTCTACCGATACATACACACTCGTTCATAATTAAACGCGCAGACACAATCACACACACAATCTCTATCGATATATACACACATTTATACTCAAACATATATATACAATCACAGCATATCATATGTAACTACTCACATATTTATTCTTATCACTTATGTTCTTATCAATTTAATTTTTATCAATTCATATCTCATTCATCGTATATTTTTGTATATATATACACACACATGCGTAACAAGGTAAATATATATACTACATAAACACAAATAAATATAAATTAGACATACTAACTATATTCATGTTACATTACACATACATTTCAACATTCACACACAATGCACTATACATATACACATTTATATAAATATATAATTTATATTTCCGTACAGAATACATATAATTCTTACTTATGGTGTGAACTGAAAAGTTTTAAGAATTCTTTCTGACTCGGTCTGAGATTCTCTCGAAAATAAAAATATCGTTTTGATAATTTTACTCATTTATAATAGAAAATAATATATTAAATTATTAATAATTTTAGACAACTAAGATCAAGACTCGGTTTTATGTCCCAGCCAATATAAATTTATAGCAAAAAATATAGCTACAATTTCATATTTGAACATAATATACAATGTCTCTCCATTGACTAAGATCAAGGTATCTCTCAAAAGTTGGTTCTAATATGTAGACTATTCTCACCCTTATGAAATAATAATCAGATAAGAAGCTAGAAAGATCCTTGGAAACCTGTTGCCCATTTTTGCTGCAAAAACTTTGGTCACTCCTTTGTGTATGGAGTTTGAAAGCAAATTATATTTTCGACTCCAGATTTTGATTTCAGAGTAAGGCATACGTGTAGAATGTTTCATACCAGTCACTTATTTAAGATAAAGAACTATATTTTCAAAGTGCTATGAGGAACTTGAGATTAACCTCATCCTACCCTTCACATCCTTGAAGTTAAAGAGAAACAAATTTATACTCTATAGCCTAGCCTTCGTCTCATGTCTAAGTTTTGACATATTCGCATCACGTCCATTGTCATCTAGTTATTAAATTCTTTCTATATAAAATTGGCACTGCCAGAGGAATATACATCCTTTCCATCTGTTCAAACCAACTCATATATGAACACAATCTCAAGGCCACCACTGATTTTAACTTACATGGTGAATCCATGCGGACAATCTTAAGAATCTTTGTAAACCATGACGATTGATGTGTATCTCACCACCAACCCTTCAAATAGAAAGTGTTTACACCTGCCAAATAAAAACAGATATTAAAGCATAAAATACAGCAGAAAGAAAAACAAATGAATGAGATAGGAAAAAGAATAGACATCCAAGGAAACTCAACGAAATTGGGAATTGAAAGAAGAAAAATAGAATAAAAACTTCCAACCAAACCAACAAATCTTTGGCAACTAAGCAACACTTTACCATAAACAATTAACTCACTTCCCCAAATGGGACCAAAAATTCTCAAAATTAGAGATAAAAGACCCGCTACTGAGAGAGATTACCAAGCTTTTTTCTAAAGTAGACAAGATCAAACGGATAGATACAACAGAATTTGTCCAACTATTTACTTACAAGGTTTTATAAGATGATAAGTTTGTGGAAGAGTAACAGGAAAAGACATGTTAGGTTTGCTATTTCCATTTGGAATTGGATACTTATAGACTAACAAAATATTTTAAAATAGTAACAACGAAATATTATTAGTACTGCTTGTTCATAAATGATCTAAAATTTCTACAAGCGACGTGTAAGTTCCAGTGATTACAATCACAACCCCCAGCAGTATAACGCCTATCAACCCCATCATCTCAAATCCAAATCTCCTGTAAATCCCCGAAATCTTCAAGTAACACAAGCATGGCAATATGATGGAAGCCGTGACACTCAAGAACGCGCCCACAAGTGACATAAGGTAGCCGAAGAAAGGAATAGCCAAAGCCACAATTACAGTGCTAGCTACCAGAGCGGTGCTGATGAACAAGCCAAAACTTCTTTTGTTACTAAGGTAGTGAAATGGAAACGAGCTTCTCATGGCATTGACAATTGGCGTCACCATTAATGCATATTTGGATATGGGATTCACCAAAGTTGTGTATATTGCTATCATTGATCCCAGGTTTCCAGTTGAGAGATTTAAAGTGATCTGTGATTCAACTTTGGAACCGAACATTAAGTAGCCGACAATCGCCATTGATGCATAGCTTACAGTGCATAAGATGAAGCATATAAGCATTACCTGCAATGAAACATAAAATAATCAAAACAAATACTTCAATGGTGTTTTTGAAATTTATCAAAAGAAAAACTTACGTTAGGGAATTGACGTTTGTTTCTCATGGAAGTGTAGAGAGTAGGGAAAACTGGATGAGCACAGTAACAAAAAGCATATAAGCTGACAGCGGTAGGGATTCCATTCCAGTTGATCATGCTACCCTTTTGGTGAAATCCAATTCCTTCGAAAGCACCAGCCCATAAGATTGAAGAAAGAATTATGACGGAAGCAATTACCCCACTGGCAGATACATAAGAAAGTATGCTCAAATTGTCGAGCCAAACAGAAGGCAAGATTATAAGAGCGACGAGGACGACAATAGTTTGTTTCCCAGTGAGTCCGGCTAGTTGAAAACCTAGATTAGGAAACAAAATTAGGAGGTTATCTCCTTCAAGAATTAAGAAGCCTGTAGCGACTAAGTAAAGTTCGATGTACATGAAAATGGAGACTACAAGTCTTCCTTTGGTTCCAAAAGCAAGCTCTCCGATATCAGGGTATGTTCTGATATTGGAATCTACATCCATACATCTCTGAATTAGCAGAGCTGAGTAGAACCCTGCTGTGGCGAGCATGAAAAGAAGTATCAAACTCAACCATCCTCCTGATGCCAATGCATATGGAATCGACAGAATCCCAACTCCTGAAAATTATATATACATATATTCAGTTTCATTATACAAGTCAAAGTTTAAGTTAGATGAATTACAATAAAATGAAAAAAGAAATAGATAAATAAAAAATTGTCATTTATTTAACCTGATAAAGCATTGAGACCATGGAAACAGGTCTTGTAGAAGGAAGTGGTGTTGTGGGTAGAGTTTGCCTCTACATCCTCTAGCTTGCGTTCTAAACTGTTTTGGTGGGCTATCAGTGGCCGGCTTAACGATGACTCGTCATGTGATATGGTGGATGCCTCCATTTTTCGGGTTCAAAGTCGAAGTGAAGCAAGAGGGAGGGTAGGGTTGTAAATAGCAAGGCTAAGCTTTATTGTTTTAGATCTGTTGGAGGAGGCAAGGTTTGTTATTATGTATTACATACTGTGAATTTATATTTAAAATAAATTTTGAAAGCGTTTTTCACGATTTGAAATTTAATAGTATAAGAAAAATGTGATAAATAAATATCAAGAGAGAAGACTAGATTATCATGAGTATAACATTTCTGATTGTGATATTTATATATCTTTTTTAAATAAATATTTTAACACATGACAAATTTGACTTTGGATTTTTCTTTATTCTTTATTTCTATAAATAAAAGAATTAAATGAAATTTTTAACATGTTGTATCAATCCCACCTAACTAACAATGAAATTTTTAATATGTTGCTTAATTTATTTGTAACAAATATATTATTACGTGCTAACAAATTAATCTACTTGTGGTTATACGTATACACACGTAGTATATAATTCGTGTACATGTTGAGCTAGCAAACGACAGCTCAAAGCAAGAGCGGGAGAAATTTCCAGAGAAAAAACTCGGTATATATAAATATAAAATACTCGGCCTAATTCAAACATATATTCCCAGAAATAAAAGAGAACAGAAATTCAGGCATAATTATTTTTTAACAAAGGAAAGTCAGGTATTATCATTAACCTAATGATTTGACTTTAGCATCTTACATTATCATTATATATATGTATCTATGTATTGAACTGTAATGATCGTGAATCGAGCTAATGTAAACCTGCAGATGGTGGCATTCCCCTATTAGTGCGACATTTAATGGGTATTTTCATACATGTATGTCTACATATATACATACATACATGTACGGTGCGCGTGTTATATATATATATATACACATATACACACCTTACTTGAAGAAAAGAGACAGATCAAGGATGTTTGTTTAATCCAGGAACTCAAACAATCAAGTCTGTGTTTGACCAATTAACTAGTATCAAAATCATATATAATATATAAAAGTATTTGTAGCCTACATTAATTATCTTCCTATTTCACTGCTCAGAAGCCATTAATGTCTGGCAAGCAGTGTAGAAAAAAGATAACAACAGTGCCATGATTGCTATCAGCAGAAGCAAGGGAGACAATAATTTCTCCCATACTGCTTGACCTAGTCATTTCCTATCCTCGTTGGTCGGCAAGTTCTGGAGGATACTACCCATATATATATATTGAAAACATATGTGAGTTACTATTTAATTAAAATATGTTATTTATTAAAACAAATTGAATTGTAATCTTGGATGCAATTATATCAAATTAATTATATAACTTAATTTTATTATGGTCAGTTAAATATATAGGCCGACAAATTGATATAATTTATTATATAGTAACCCAATAAAAGGACCTTGTATGAAATTTAACTCAAGATTAATTTCTCCCAACCACTCCTATGAACCATTGACCATAGATTTGATGTAGACTTTGATATTTCCTTGATGTAAGTATGTTAAATAAATATTTATTTAATTTATTTTATAGTCTAAATTTATGTAGTCGATTTTAATATACTTATACATATATATATACACACACACACACACACACCACGAGCATATATGTAATCTATTAATGGTGAAGAATGACTATTCCAATAACTTTTGAAGTTAAACTACTAAAATTAAAATTTTCAAAAGTATTAGCAATACATGAAATATGTATAATAATTCTATTTTCTTTCAGTATATATTTGTTGATTCATGCAGAAAAATGTCGTCTGCTTGAAGATAAACTGGGCAAGTAGATGATGATGAAAATGCATAGCAACTTTAGAGATGTCAAATTTTCGTTTCCTTAAATTACTCCCTAGCGAATGAATTAGACATGGATTAGGTTTCTTTTTAAACAAAAAAAAGAAAAAAAAAAATCCGAGACATATGGATTAGATTTCTTGATCAATCCAAACACGTAAAGGATAATATAATTGTGACTTGTGAATTGAAGAAGAAGAAGACAAAAAATGAGAAGCCAAAATACACCACAAATTCATTCTTTTACATCGTCATACTCACATGTGTGTTCACATACATTGTATATATATTAGTGGGACATATGTATAAGTTGTGTTTCATATGTTAAATTAATTTTTTCTCGCCTCCATAATGATCATTGTCATCTTTTATTTAATATTGCACTAATTACTAATTAATAAGTAGACTTCTTCCAATATTAGTGGGATTTATCTCGAGAGATAATTTGAGGACACGACTTCATCAGCTAAGATTCTTTCTCTCCAAAATTTTCTAGTTAATTAAAAGTTAAACTAATCTTTGAACTTAATTCATGGCAAGTAAAGAAAAAGTACTAAGATATGTGTGTGTGTGTATATATATATAGAAAGAGATAAAGATGATGACGAGAAGGACCACTAAAGAGAGATGTTGAAAAACTATACACAATTGAGTTTTTTTTTTTTTTTTTTTTTTTTTTTGGTGGTAAGAACGTATCGTGTTCTACTTGTCTCATTCAATTATTTATTCAGCATAACGCTTTCAACTTGTGTTTTACTTCTATTCGCCATTTTGTCTCTTGGTATACAAAATTGGAGTCTAAAACATATATGAATGTATAAATATAATCAAGTTACATATGTAGTTAAGGCTATTTTTGACATCTTAGTTGAGTAGAAAGTAAACAAAAGTAAATCATCTAGCAAGAATAGAGTATCTTTGTAGTATAATTTTTGGGCTAATAAAATTTGTGGATGATTAAATAAATATAAAAAATATTATATAAATTTCCCTTACATTACTATAATCCTTTTAACTTAACCGAAAAAATGAATTCCTAAATTTCCCAATTCTTAAATAATTCTTAAAAAGTTTTTCCTACTTTTCAAAAATGTAATATAAAGATCAATTTAGTCGTTCACTAAAATAATTACTTCCTACAAATGGGGATTAATTTATATATAGTAGCTGAAATTAGATCTCAAGTCTCTACACAATCGCTAACTTGTTGAGAATTTACATGGAAGTTTATTTTTTTAAAGCAAAAGCTTACTAATATTTTTTGAAAATCTCAATTAAACAAAGCACGAAGGGTCGTTATTTAAACTGTAGCGCTACATAACTAACTATTTATTTATAATTAACCTTGAAGCAATAAAAGAGAAATTCGCAAAAAAAAGGCTATGATCTTCAATTTTCTCTTCTCACAACCAGCACTTCTATCTCATTTCAGCATAAACTTGGATGTTGATTAAAACTTTATAAATCCAGTCCAATTTATTTTATTATTAATTATATATTTAAATATTTAGATATTATAATCAGTTAGGTTATGCGACAGAAAATGTATTCTTCGTGTTTAGTTTATAAATAATAATTTTTTTTTACAGAAAAGAAAAGAAACCCAAAATAAAAAACGATAAATAGACGGAAGATTAATCACCTGAAAGAGCACAAGTGGGTTTACGAGGGAGATCATGACCAGCAGCTTCTGGGCATCGATCAATGGTGTGTTAGCAGAAAATTTATGGAGGAGGTGGTACGTGTCCATTTTCAATCTCAAAATGAAAGATTTCTCTATTCATAGAAAATTTCTTATTTGGGTATTTAATCTGTTGTTTTGTTGGGGATGATATTTAATTAATTTGTTTCTTAGTTATTGATGTGCGCTTTTAAGAGATCTATAACTAAACAAGAGTTAAATGATGTACACGTGGAATATTAGGAGATTAAAAAGGAAACATGGGTGATATCCTATTCTTTTAAACTTTCAGTTTATTAATTCTAATAACTATTTTTTGGCAAATTAAAGATACACTAATTACAAAAGTAAAGTTGTTGTAGATATATAAACATAAATATATCTTAATTTGTGACAATAATTGTAAATTACCAAAAATATAATTATATTTTAAGCTAAATTCACGATTAGAAAATTATTTTCTAGTAACGAACGTGTTTATTATAATCACATTCTTGGTGTTACAATTCTCTAGCCCATTTGTAACTTCAGCCTAAAATAACCCAACCCAAACATCTAAACCCAACTTTCTTTTCTCTCGGAACCCAGACTTTTCCTCCAATTGAAACCCAAAGCATCTTCACCTTCTTCAATTGTCCATCAACAGTCGAACTTCACCATCTCCATGTGGAAACAACTCCTTGACTTCAACTTCTTCTTTTCCTTCAGCTTCGAAATCACCTCCTCAACTTGAACAAGCTTCTCCTTCAGCTTCTTCACAATATCCACTGCCGATTGAGTTGAGTTAAGCACAATCCTTTTATACATACTACTTGGCCCGTCATATCGGTACCCTATAATCTTTCCTCTTGGATGTGTATGAAACAACCTTTTTTTTTTTTTTTTGGTATCATCATTGCTCATTCAAGATCCAAAAGGCTCCGGGAACAAATAGATATATCTTTCCAATGTGCCTATGAAGAGTATTACCTTATCGGGAACATCTTATGTTATAGCATAATCTTGATGTGATAACATTAAAGGCACATTGTTGAATCAAGATGATAAATAAGACAAAAGAGATTACAAGGCTTGGTGTGACCTTGAAGATATGAGTATAAAAAGTGTCCTCTACTCACAACTTCGCCCTGGTAGTAATACAAAGTTGTGTTATCAAAATAATTAGATTGGAGAAAGATGATTTTTCTAAAGTTCTAAAAGATTTAAGAGCTTCCCATGAATACTCATCAAACACCCCTCTTTATGTGCAGCTCAAACAACAACGTAAGATCGTTGAGCTCAAAAATTATGATTGTCATTTCCTGATTCAATAGTTTCTTCCCGTATCAATTATGTTTTTCACAACCTCACGATATAGAGCAAGAAAAAAAAAATTGAACCATTACCTAGCAGGAACTCTTCCTTTCTTTACCGAATGAGGAACACAACAAGTATAGGTTTACACTTCAGATTTTTTCTCTTGGGTTTACCCACAACATTCAGATTCTCTTCGCCCCTCGGGGTCTCTTTCTCTCTTTTTTTTTTTTTTTTACTTTTAACTCTTTCCTCTTTCCCCGAATGCCATCTCCCCAAACTTCCCCCCTTGGCCTCTACCTGCGAACCCCGAAAGGTCTAGTCATTTTCCCCCATTTACGTTTTTACCTCAGCATCTTTACTCCCTCGAACAGCCATATCACCGAAACATGAAAACCCTCTTAATGCTTCGTCCTTTGCTCTTTCTTCTTTCAGCTTCCATCTCCTTTTCACTATCCTCGTCAAACCCGATACCCATTTCTTCTTTCACCATATGAACTCTTTTCTCCTACGCCTCGAGTCTCTCTCCTGTTCTGTTTCTAGCTTTTTTCCAAATCGTTGCAGAGGGTCCCTTCGTTTTCAGCTTCTTCTTCGTCTGCTACATCAAACGCAGCATTTTCCTTTTATGCTTCAATCACGTCTTTCCCCTCTCGTGCCCGACGCATCTGCCCCTTGTCCTCTTCTTTTTCCTGTTCAGATAAATTCCCCAAGCCCTAGCCGAAAGATTGAAGGTTTACCTTGGAAATAGTGTCGTTTCACACTTGAAGCTTGGGTCAATTTCTTTCTTTGCCAAGAATGCGCCTACTTGTTGGATTGGGATGAGTCTTAAAATGGTTGGTTTTTGGAGTGGGCTTAGGCAGAATTTAAGTTGGGTTTATCTTCTCCTCTTTCTTCTTTCCTTTTTGTTTTTTCTTTCTTTTATTTATTTATTTATTTTTAACACGATAAACGAAAATAAAATCAAGATAAAAATAATAATAATGTCTAAACAATTGCAAGTCACAAGAGACTACTGGAGTTGGTAATTGACAACAAGTGTGCACAAACAGCAGCTAAGAATCCAGTCTTTGGTGAACACCAGACAAGTTAGCATTGGTGTAAAAGTTTGAACTAATTTTTTGTAATATAATAATTAGATAATACTAATAATAAAATAATTTTAAAAAAATAATAAACAAGTCATATTTCCATAAAGATAAAAGGAGAGCACCAATGATGAAGCTTAAAAAGGGTGCAAAATTAATTAATGAACCTACGCAACAAAATACATATATTGCATGCGTTACACCTTCAAATCATTAAACTAAGAGAAGAAGTAATTAGAAGTTCCATGTGACTAGATTATATATGTCGTCTTGTGTACAAAGTAATTAATTACTCCAAAAGAATGAAATCAACTTAATAAAAACAAACACCCACTTGAAATCTACCAAG